CGGCAGACAGAAACCGAGGATCTGAAGTTGCCCCCTCATGTGCAAGAAAGCTGTCTCGCTGGCTCCTGGCTGTTACCTCCCAGCGCCTAAAATAATGGGCCCCTTTTCTCTGTACATAGATTCAACTTCAGGAAGAAAGATTACACCCGATGGGCATAGTAAATAGTAACTTACTTAAACAACCTCTTTTCATCCAGCCAGGGGAGGGAGGGCTGGCTCTTGGCAGAATGCTTGGCAAACCGGTAGGTCACTGCCAAATTTGGCCTGCAGGAGGGTTCTGTTTGGTCTCCTACTTTTTAAAATTTGGATTTATGACACTTAAAAATCAAGCAAGCTCATGTGTGACTTTTGCTGGGGGAAAAAAGAACAATCAATCATCAGCCGGCAGCTCTATGCCTACATACTCCCCAGTTCGCCACAGTTCCCAGCTAGCCCTCTGCTTATTTGCTTGTCTCACTTCTATGTACTTGAGTGGTAATCCCTGAATGGCAAAATACCCCAGTTAGAATACCCTTTCTGCATCATCGCTCCCTGTCTTCAACAGAGCCCAGCAATGATCAGCCGTGTGGTCAACATCTCCTTCCCTGCTTCCCAGCAAACTGAAGTAAGGATGTCACCTTCCTACCCATGTCCCAGTCTCCTGGTGCAAGGCCCAGCTAACATGTCTGCTGGATGAAAGGAGGTCTTGTTTAAGTAAGTTACTATTTACTATGCCCATTGGGTATAATCTTTTTTCTTGAAGGTGAATCTATGTATAGAAAAAGTATGTCATGATTGTATAGCTCGATGAAATTTTACAAACTGAACGTACCCCATGTTAGCAGCATCCAGGCTAAGAAAACACTACCCACGCTCCTATGTCCACCTAGTGTTGGGGGTCCCCAAGACCACACCTCCAAGCTGGATGGCTCGCTAGAAGACTCATATGATTCAGCATACACTGATTGCATATCTGCACAACTACTTACTTACTGGCAACTATCATTTATGACAGCAAAAGGCTATTAGGGCACCTGAGACAAAGTCCAGACCCAACCAGGCACAAGCCTCCCTGACTCCACTCCCAGTGCAGCCACACTTAATCCTTCCAATGATGAGTTAGGACAACACAAATGAAGTATAACCTACACAGAAGCTCATTAGAGACTCGGTGTCCAAGATTTGGTCAAACAGGCATGTTCTGCCTAGCACACACCAAAATTGCAGTTCCCAGAAGGAAAGCAGGTATCTGCAGAGACTATGGTTTGCACAGCTTAGGCACAGTGAGCGATTCTCCTCAACTAGGGAATGGTGAGAATACTCCCCACAGCCAGGTGCCCAGACACCAGCCAAACACCAGCCTTGCAAACAGGCCTGTTTTATTTATTCTTTTCTGCACAATTCACCCCCCAAACTGTATACCCCCTATACAGTAGGAACCCACACAAAAGGAGACCAGTCTGCAGTGCTGGTCTCAGCAATACCTGGCAGGGGTCCTGGATTAGCAGTGAAAATAAATCTCATTATCCACAGACTTCTATCAGGAGGCTTCCTCCTTAAGCTTTGGTGTGACTGGTTTGTACTTGACCCAAGGCAGTAGTTCAGAGAGCAAGCTCTGGCAAGTTCACGTTGAACAGAAGCCTTCCAAGGCTACGGCAGTGTGGTGATGGGTAACAGAAGTACAATACCAGAAGACACACCTCCTCCCCTTGACAAGTTGCCAGTATCAGGGCACCCAAGCAGGATACATCAGTCTGCAGTAGTGGATGTCAGAGCCCTGGGGGCCTCTGGCCCAGAGGGGAAACCCAGCCTGTGCTTGTTTTCAAGGGCCTGTCTGAAGACAGTCAGTTCTGACCCGTTTTGCTTGTTCATGAGTGTGGATGACACTAGGTGTTGCTTGCAGAAAGTGCAGGAGCCAGGCCCCTGCTGTCGCATGTCAGGGCTGCCAGTGGACTGCAGGCTCAACAGGCCAACTCAAAGCCTGGCAGCACAGGCAGAGCTGCACGTGCCAAGGTGTTGCTTTTCCCTAGTACACAATCAGCATCCCTCTGCCATCCAAACTTCACAGTTCTTCAATCAACTCTTGCTGCCATCCAGCCTTTTCATCTGGAAGGGTTGTATGCCAAGGGCACAAAAGCATTTTTGTAGAAACGCAGTGTTATACAACTTGCCCCAAAAGATGTATTTAGGAACTGTTATGGGCTGAACGGTAGTGCCCCCAAATTCATCTACTGAAGCCTTTACCTCCAAACCTCTGAATGCGACAGTCGATGGAGACAGAGCCTTTAAAGCAGTAATTAAGGTGAAATGAGGTCCTTAGGGTGGACCCGAATTCCATGTGACTGCGCACTCACACGCGATGAGGACCCAGACCACATAGAGGAGTGACCGTGAGGACATTCAGAGGTGAGCACCCGCCAGCCAAGGAGAGCAGCCTCGGGAGAAACCAAACAAGGCGCTGACACCTTGATCTTGGACTGCTGCACTCTGGAAGAAAAATTAGTTGTTTAACACTCTGCCCCCACTTCCAATCTAAGGTATTTTTTTGTTATGTTGTCGTAGCAAACAAATGAAGGATAAAATCTAGAATTTTCAAGAACTTCAAAATGAGTTGACATAACCTGCCCTTTTTATTCAGAGAGCAGCCTAGAGAAGATCAACCCATTTCTGGAGACAGCTACACTTGAATAATCACCCTCTTTGCATAGTGTATACACAGAGGAATTGAGGGAGGTGCTCCGCCCAAGTGGCAAGCTGCCACGAACCCTCCAAGTCAAGGATGAGTCAGCCACAGTGAGACAGCCCTCGAGTGTGATCTGTGAGAAGCAGGTGGAGGGGTCAGTCTGATGCAGCTTGGGCAGGGACCTCCAGGGAGGATGCACACAGCCTCCAGACTGGAGAGGTTTCTGAAGTTCCTGTCAGAGAACAAGCCGTCTCCTGGGGCATTTGCAAGGGACGGGCTGGCTTAGCCAGCACACACCATGTATGTAGTCACGGCTTAGAGCTCCCCGGAGGGGGTGCCCCTCCAGTGTTCCCAGGGTCAGAGTGCTGTTCATGCAGCCTGCCTGCCTTCGGTTCAGCAAGGTATCTGGTGAGACTGGGACGGCGCATGGTAGCCAGTGTTGGGTTTCAGCTCAGAGCCAGTCCCAGGCAATTAGGATCAGTGAATCTGGGGTTCCGACAAGTCACCAGGCATGGCACAGTGCCAGAGAGCCCTGCTTCCAGCTGCAGTGACAAGGTCTTCTTTTCGTCTTGTAGTCTTTCCAAGTGGACAAATTCAAAGGAAAGTACATCAGACTGGACAAGTCATCAGCCTCGAGGGCTAGGCATTTGATTTCAGCGAGGGCGCAATAGCAATTCAACTGCTTTTTCAAATCCAGATGTGTAGTTCCAGTCTGAGATTGCATTTCTTTATGCTGTCTCTTTCCAAGATTCCAGCTGGCATGAGTCATAGCAAAATCATCACTCATGGAAAGCTATCTGGGTCCAATGCCCTTCAAATTTAAATTCATACCCACCTGATGGTGGGAAAAAGCAAGGATGCTCAATTCCACCCAAACTCTCCTAGTTTACTTGTATCTGTTGTTGAGTGGGATGATCCTTCTAGGACTGATGAAACTCTAAGCCCATGGATTTTAAATCAAATTTACCATATATCTACATTCAATAGCCATAAAATACAGTTGCTATTTTAAAATTTCCCTCTTTCCCTATGTCAAAATGACTCAACCCCCTAGAAGTCAATTCAGCATTTACAGGATCATCATCACACCTTACAATGCTGATTCTTCTGCACAGGCCCCATTCCAGAAACAACCCCTCCCTGCCAGTGTCTACTGCGTATAAGCAAGTTAGTGTTTATCATTCATACAGTGAAAAAGCCATTGAGTATTTATTCCAGTTAGGAACATTTAGTGAAAAATGAGGTACTTAAGCTCCCAGACACACAGCAGGGGAGGGGGAAGACAAGGGCTCAAACTCAGGGAAGGAAGAGCACAAGGGATCATGGTGAAGGCTCACTGGGTGATGTGGTCATGGCAGGTATACAGGGATTACATCTGAGGGGAGAAATCAAATAGTGTTCAAAAATGAACAATGATCTAAGAAAATAAAAAGGAAAAATGAACCACTGAGAAAACTTTCTTTAACTGGTCCATCAGTAACTTTTCATATTCCCTTACAGTCCTTGTCAATATCGAGTTTCAATTTATTTTTTAAAGCTGTGTATTTATTTAGATTTTTAAAAAATTTATTTATGCATGTAAGGGGTGAGAGGATTTGCCAGAGAGAGTGGGGTGCAGACCAGAGAGATCCTCTGAAATACACTGCTGAGGGGAGCAGAGCAGTGGGTGAGACAGGAGAGGTCTGCTGCACCATGTGGGTCAGCTCCTGGGCCAGGGGTTGAATTTACGCCACAGTGGCTGGTGATAGCTTGGTAGCGCTGAAACTTAAGCCCTGTGCCAACTGGGTGGCCCTGGAGTTTCAATTTGATGTGGCTAAAATTATGCCAAGTTCATACAGTCTGTCTGCCTGGCACCAGTAATAATACTGACTGTAAACTGTTTCTGAGCACTAACTATTGACCAGGCATGGGAGCTCATGAGGGCTAAGAGCTTTACAGAAATGATCTCACTTAATTCTCATAAATTCTAGGAGAAAGGATGATTATTCCCACTTTGCAGATGAGGAAGTCACCACTTCTGCGTTAGATTACTTGGCCAAGGTCATATACAGCCAGGAGGTGGCAGAACTTGAATTCCAACCCAACTCTTCCCATTCCACAGTCCACAGGCTTCTCCAGAGAGCATGTCTGCCTGGCAAGCCCCAAATCCCAGCCTCAATGTTCACTTGCTCATTCATTCCTGGTCCCCTTCCCAAAAGCAAAATGGCATAGTGACCTCAGGGACTCAAGAACCTTTTGTTCAAATGCAAGCCCCTCCCCTTACCATCTCTAGGACATTGTACAAGTTACTTCTACTTGTCTCAGTTTCCAGGTCTAGAAAACTGCACCTTCAAATGACTCATTTCATGTGTCAATCTTTTAATGTACAAACATTTTAAAATGACAGATCAGAAAGCAGTATTACATTGAACTAGGGAGATGATTACATGTTACTGTTTTTTTAAGACCCCCGGCAGGCTATTAAGTTAAGACAGCTCCTGCTAGATCTTAACTTTCAAAGCTGAACTATTTTACTCTAATCATGGCAGAACCAGAGCATTAAACAAGATCATCCTCCTCTTTTAAATCTTTCTAAACCAAGAGCAGAACCAGGAAGGACTGCACTGTTACCCAGAGCGGACAGTAAGAACATCACTGGCAATCTCACTCCTGGGGGCTCTGTGCCCACAAAATGATTTTGAAGGCTCCTTTATATTCATGTGACTGCGCCAAGTACAGATATTTTGATCTGAATTGTGAGGCTTATGCAGAACACTGAGTGGGCTGAAATGGCTGAGGCCAGGAACCAAGTATCAGCGAAGCAAGGTGCACAATGCTGACCCGAGTGCCCTGAAGCAGAGTGACTGCCATGCTAGTCCATCCCCTGGGAGACTCAAGCGTGAAGCTTTGCAAAAATAAAACCTGGGTGTTAAGAACCCCCTTTTTGTGAAAGGCAACAGCCCTACAATAGAATTCTAAAAAGCCTTCTATCAGTCACCCTGGGTTAAAATGACAGCTACGGTCATGTTAGGAAGAAGAGAAACACCAACCACCTCCCTTTCAAGTTTTAGTAGCCAAGGAATTTGGGCTCTGAAAAGACAAAAATGTTTGTTTTTCAAGCTTATGAGCAGCTGTACAACTGGCCAAATTGTTGGCATCAGGAAAACTGCCTGTGAGCCTGTGAGCAAGTTCACCGTGGTAGCTTCTGGCCACGAGCAGCACACCAGCTTCATAACCTCCGCCTCAGGTCAGCATACTCCCACTGTGCAGGCCTGTTCCAGGCAGAATCCAGACATCCACAAGTTCAAGGTGGGGGGGCGAGTGCTGTGAACTGATGATCCTCTGTTCCACGAATAATGGCTAATAGATAAGGTATAAGCACATCATTTGGAGACAATGCCCCCAGGCCTTCTGTTATTCAAGCCTCAGAGCCTGGAACGACTGGAAATTCGTTTTTTTTTTTTTTTTTAAAGGTGGAAGGTGTCAAAGACACAAGAGCCCTTTGGAACGTCTGACTGGCTTACTTTGTCCCCAAGTTCATCTTAGAGCTCATGTGAATTCAAGACATCAGGCAGAGATGTTAGACTTGTGTCAAGGGCAAAAACTTCTGGTAGTAGCTTTTAGTGACATCAATCATCAGCTCCTGGGTACATTCTGGGAGCTCCCCGGAGAAGAGTCCTGGGGAAAGAAAAACCATGTGCGGTCAGGAAGTCTGCAGCTCTGACTTCTGTCTAGGCACCCAGAGGGCCCTTGTCTCTAGTCACAAGTAAATGCTAGGTTTTCCACTTTCCGTGCTGGTAGTACTGACCATTATTGCCTAGCCAGAACTGTGTGTGTCGGGGGGAGAATCAACTAGTACAGCTCCCAAAATGGAGAAATATTTCCAGGCAAAAGAGGTCAGTACATTACTGCATGATCTGAAGGGTTAAGGGCCCCTGACTGATGGGAGGCTGTCCTGGACAAGGATTTGTCCATCGCCGGGATATCAGTGCGACACTTACTGGGTAAGCCAGAGTGACCACCCGTGAGGTAAGAAATTGCCCAACCACTCCCATAACAAAACTGAACGCGATGCCTAAACATGCTAGCTCTGGATAAAACATGATGGGAGCACAACAGAGATGTCCTGAGAAAAGAGGGGGTGATCAGATTTAAGAATATCTAGGAAAGAAACATTCTTGTATACTGTGGCAAGTGTACGCTTACCACCATCTTGAAAGGCAACTGAGGAATGTCTAGCAAAACTTCAGTAACTTCATACCTATGACATGATGATTCAACTCCTAAGAATTTATCCCCCAGAAAATCTTGCCCAACGCACAAAAACATGTACAAGAATGTTGATGCTGGAGTTTCTAACGGTGAAAAACTAGACACAACTTCTAATGACCTGTTAATACAAGGGAAGTGGTCATTCTGGCACATTTATACAATGAAAACACCTAACAATTAAAATGAACAAGGGTCATCTCTATGTAACTGACAAGAAAAGTGCCAGGATACATTGTTAGGAAAGCAAGTTCTCCGAGGGAGGTGTGAGCGCAAGGGGCTGTGGGGAAGGATCACCGGGGCCATGGAGGTGGGAGAACTATGGGGATGACACCCGAGGGGAGCAACCAAATACTACCCCACAACTGACAGAGATGTAAGAATATAAGCACACTAATTGAAAAAGAAAAGGAGAGCAAGTTTCTGAAGGGAACAGAGTGCCAGTTTCTATATCCACATTATTTACATGCATCCACACACACCTATATATCCCAAAACACACAAGCACACATACACTTGTAATTATATTGAAAGAAAGTAACAGGAATAGGAAAAAGTCTTAAAAAATACAAAGTTCTCATATATTACATGAGACATTTACAAACTAGCCCACATTAGCCCCAGATACAAGTTTGCTCTGCCCAGTGTTTAATCAATGCCAACATTTAAAAATTCAGATATTAATAAAAATGCCTATTTTCAGCCCTTCATGAATCACTAGTCTCAAGCAGCTACTGTGGGCTTTCACCCCAATCATTTCCAGGACCTGCCTGGCTCCTGCAACATCTGAGTTTTTAGCTTCCTAACCAGATCCCTTCTGGATGGTTTGCTGTTGAGCCCTCCAAAAACTGTCAGTTTTCCTGAAATCCTTCCTTAAAACTTCTTTAAAAGATGGAGCTTGTGAACGACGGGAAACAGAGGGTTAGAATTTACTTGTGAAACACATAAAATAAACATGGAAGTATCGTAAGGCAGTGCAGAAGTACAGCCTCTAGATAAAGGGCTTCACTGCTGTCGAGGCTCCCCTATGCACTCGGCGACACCTCGGACCTGCAGCAGGCCGTGGGGCACACCGCAGCGCCCCAGGTCGAAGGCGGCATGGGGGGCAAATTGATGATATGTGCTATCTGCCATGGGGGGCTTAACCGCATTTCCAATTACAGAAAAATTTCATCACTCAGATCCGTCAGATTCTTTAGGGAGGAAACTGGTCCTGTGCTGTTTCCTGCATCTCTGCATTTACAGCGGAGGAAAAAGAAACCTTTGTTTAGTAATTCTACGTTGGGTTCCCACTGTGAAAAGGTTTAACTGCTCTTGGAAAGTGCTAGGCCAGATCAGCCCGAGATTGTTTTAAATGACTGTCACACACACATTTGACTGTGAAACAGCAGACAAGCAAGAGAGTGAGGGGGCGGGGGTTGGGAGTGAGGTTTTCTTCTTCCTCCTGCTTTTCAGTGTTTCCCAAGCTTTTGAGGATAAGCATGCTACTTCTGTTTCTTCAAATGTTTTGTAAATTGGAACCCTGAGCTCCCTGGGGGCTTTACAGCAAGCATTCTGCCAGCCACGCCCAGACATGCATGCCCGCTCACTTCAGGGCTGCTAGAGCTGTCACTGATCTCCATTCAGGGTACATTAACTTTTGAGTTTGAGGATTTCTGGACAATATATGAAGGGGAAGTTCAAATCCCTTACCAACGTGCAGAGAAGACCACAGCTAAAAATTCTCTGGAGAGACTGTCTTTTTTTTTCTACCCAGAGCCCAGGCCAAGAGACATCTTTCTTTGAACTGTTCCTGTGCTACTGGTAAACTTGCTCTTTATCAATTTTCATTGAGGGGTCACCTTCAAGAGGCTCTCTCTACCATGTTTGAGTCCAAGATTTTATCTCATTTCCCCTACCAACCCTTGATACCCCAGGTTTGAGTATAAAACCCCAAATCACTCTATTGTGAAAATAGAATTAGCCTACTCATATTCATAGGGTGGGTTTAGTTTTCACTTTGCTTCTGACCCTTGATAATTTCCTGGCAAGCCCTAGTATGCATTTACAAAGATGCACATTATATGTTAATTGCATTTCTAGCAGGAGAATTTTTAAGTTAGTAGTCCAACATAATTAGTCAGAAATGGCATATGATACGTTTGTGATGGAAAATAAACATGAGTTTTAATAATCAACATCCACAGTTACCTGGGCAGCCTGAGAAGACAGTGAAGGGTGGGACCACGGTTTCTGGGGGTAACACTGTGTTGTCAAGGATTTTGCAACAATCTTTCAACACACACCTACGGCCCTGTAAATTAAAACTTTGTTAACCGGAGACAGGTAAAAAACAGGAATGAAAGCTGTCTATACTGCTATGTGAAAGGCTATATTATTTTCTCAACTCATATTATATAATAACATTGACAAGAGGCTTGTCATGGAGATGAAGGGGGAGGTGGACGGAGGAGGGTTGTATGCTAGGGACAGTTCAGACTGCCTTAGGCATTGCAGGCATGAAATCTGGTTGGGCTTCTAAGAGTTCTAATTTTCTAACTTGTTTTTTAATTTAGTAGACATCTGTTGTTTTGCTTCTCCAACATTCTCTCCTTTCTCTTGATAATAGAACCTGTATTTTTCTTGGGAATGACCACCAGCCCCCCTGAATCCATGTGCTTTCCTTCCCATCCCAAACCCCGAACTCCAAGTCTGGCCACAGCGACTGGTCAGGGAATCAGCCTACGAGCTCAATCAGCCTATGAGCTCACTGTCAGGGCACCTGCTATAACACTGGGAAGAGCTCTTTCCAATGGTGTTTCTGGAAGACAGGATGAAGTCTGAACCATCGTTTTTTTCCCTGACAGGAGCTGCCTGAGGGTCTCCCAGGGGAAAACTAAGAAGGAACAGACACTAATTCTCAAGAGCTCAGTTGAATTCCTGGAGCCATTTGTGCATGAAATTAGGATTCTGTCCTCTTGGTCTATACTAGACAATACATTCCATTTTACACTTAAGCTTGTGGTTTGGTTAATCTTCTGTCAATTCCAACTGGACCAGTCTTCACAAATTCATTTGGATATGAAGTTATTAGTTCCTTTGTTCTCCCACAGGCAAGGGGTGTTTTTGAAGCTTTAGGCTGAATCGTCATCTTGACCTCACCCACTGTCATCATTTTTCAATTCTGTCATCACCCACAGCATTTTGAACATAAGGAATTAGAGCTGGAAGATTCATCTACTTCATGCGCTAAAGGAAAGGAGAGGCTTCTGGTTAGAATTTAAAGCTGTGCCTCGTATTGCTGGCTGAGAAAATGGAAGTTTCAGTCTGTACAGACTGCATTCCATCACCAGGGCCCACACGCTCACTTGTGTTCTGAGCATATGGTCTGATAAGATACACGTGGCACTTCTAACAAATACTAAGCCAACCTGTCCAGATCTCAGATTTTACCCAAGAATATGAAAGACATTATAGCTTGGTTGTGTTCAAATTTCCTCCAATTATTAAAGACACAAATCATATATACCCTAGAAATTTCCAGATGAATTTTTGAAAAAGCTTATACCTCTAAAGTATTAATTTTTAAAGTGGCTAATTTGTCTCCATGGGGGTTAACTGCTTTGTAATATTAGGCAAAGCTTATTAGCTCAGAAGCAATTTATAACTACAGGTCTTCATTCCTTCTTGGAAAGTTCTCTTCCACGAATTACCTGCTACTAGCAGTTTCAAAATTATGGCAACTGACCAATTCTGGTGACTCCCAATTCACTGAAAGATGTCCTAAAATATTTATACCTTATAACCTAAGTTCTTTAGAACCAGACTGAGCACAGAGAAAGCAGCACATGCCATATCAAGGCATGGACATTCACAGACACGGACCTGTGCAGAAAGGGCCTGAACAGAACAGGGCTCAGTCTTTTCGCTGTGTGCCAAGTTACCACACAGCCTGCTACAACGGCTTCATCTGACAGTTGGCCATTCTGCCACTCCTATAAATGAGGCTTAACAGGGTTTCAGAGCAGTCTTGACTAAACATCAAGAAAATAAAAAATGCAGGTACTTCTTAAGCATGAATGAACTGGCAATAGCTGAGGAGATAAAAAGCTAAAAGTTCTTTATTTTTCCTGGATAACTTTCGAAAGAGGAGGCAAGAACGCCATGTTGCTAGTAGTATAGCTAGATATAGATCCTCATGGAAGTTATTTAGCATCTCTTAAGCATAGGTTTCATCATCTATGAGGCAGGATGTAAAACCAAACCTGCAAGATACAGCAGGATAAAGATAATAAACATAAAACTCATGGCACAAGCACAGTGCTTATTAATATTTTTCAGGTTTTCCTGAAAAATCTGGGCAATTCTGATTAATACCCATACCTTCACATATCCACAGAGAAGTCAGACTACCAAACAGGTTGTAACAGAAAGGACCTGTTTTTTATGGGGATAGCTGGATTTTAAAAGCGCTCCTGCTAGATCTGACATTGTAGAATTCTAAAAGAATTCTTCTCAATCTCCTCACCCCCTCTAAACTGTCAGATGTTAGACATAAGACAACAGATAAGCCATGCAGTGGCATGACAACGCCTACCACTTGGGTCTCACATTCTAGCTCTCCCATTATTAGCCTTGTCAAATCTAATATCTTAGGCCTTCAATCTTTTGATATCAGTCCTGGATACTAAGTACCTGCAGATTAAAGGAAATAATCGAGGTAAGGGGCTTAACATCATAGGGAAGAGGTGTGATAAAGGTTAGCCATGTTTTGAATGTCTAGAACTCCAAACACAACAATAAGTTTGGCAAGCCAGTAGGCCGGACACTACTTCTGCCCTGCTTGGTCACAGAAGTAGAAACCTACTGATATAAAAGATGGGAGTGAGTAGGAAATTATGGCTGGTTGGCCAGTCAAGTCAAATACTCACAATCACACAGTTCTTGCCAACATGAACATAAGAGCCAATCTGAGCTGCGTTGACCACACAATCTTCCTCAATAAAGACATGGTCCCCAATATGTAAAGGAAAGAATGCGACACTAGAAAAGGAAAAGAAGATGAACAAAGAAAAAAGGTCAAGGTGGTATACTTTTGGTCAAGTTTATAGAACTATAGATCTATAAAATGTAATCTCAATTTCATCATTTTTGTCCCTGGAAAGGAAAGAATCCTAACGCTAGAGGAATTCCATATGTTGATGACGATAGATGTGACAATTAGCTCAAAGTCAGAAATATTAGGGAAAAGGAAAAAAAAAGAAATACTAGAGAAAAGAAATGTGCAAGGAAAGTGTAAGGCACAAGAAGCAAGACATTCAAAGCTAAGAGCTGGTGCCAAATAAAAGTGAATGAATGTTTGCTCCTTCCTGTTTCCTTTGAAAATGCCCCCAGGTTACATTTTCAGGAATCTGCTTTACCATGTTTTAGGGGAATGACATCAGGGCTCATGTGATATAATTTCTAACACCCAATACTTTAAGATTTATTTATTTATATGTATAAGAACTGGAGTATAGGCCAGAAGTGAAGGTGGTGAGAGGATTCACCAGAGACAGAGTGGGGAGCAGACTGACTGAAATACACTGCTGAGGGGAGCAGAGGGTGAGACAGGAGAGGTCTGCTGTGCATGTGGTTAGCTCCCTGGCTGGGGATCGAACTGCCGCAGTGGCTGCGGATGGCTTTATAGTGCTGTGCTTTAACCCCTGTGCCAGCAGGGAGGGCCCTAGCACCCCATATTCTTAGAATTCAAGTGTTCACTGATTTTACTGTGCGCCTTTTGTATGCCAGATTCTATGCCAGGACCTGGGGACATAAGAAAAGCAAAAGGGATACAACCCTGCACTAAGCAAAAGGGGTACAACCCTGCACTAAGCAAAAGGGGTACAACCCTACACTAAGCAAAAGGGGTACAACCCTGACCGTGAGCAGCTTATACTCGAGAGAGAGTAAAGATTTTCTAAGCAGTTACTCACCACTATGACAGTGAGACAAAGGAGAAATACTGAATTATGAGAATTCATAACACAGAGATTTTTTGGAGATTAAGATTTCATAAAAGCTTAACTGTAATGTGCCAAGTCAAGACTTGCAACAGGAGTCAGCAACTTTCTCAGACTTCTGACATTATTCCTATTCTCCTGGACTCTTTACATGCCACTGACAGTGTTCTGGGCTCACACTCAGTATCCTGGGAGTCAGAATATTTAAACTGCAACTAATATTCACTAGCTCTGTCCAGTCCTGTGTTCTATCTTTTCATGAACATTTTGTTCAGAGAGGACCAGCCTTTATGGGCCTATAATTTAAACTTTCCTTAATCTAGTCATATTTTTAGTTTTAACCATGGGTTGCAATAGATTACATGCTACACAAGTTGGCAGTAAGACTGGCAGTTTGTCAATATTAAGTTAAATATTCCAAACTTTAAACTATTATCTGGTACTAGGATATCCATATTCACCTTCTATTTATGTGTTTTTGTATGCTTTAATATTTCTGTATTTCTCACACAGACTATGCTTATTATAATCTCCTTTAATATCCAATAAATCCCTATTTCATTCTTTTACTTTTTATTATTTTTATTTTTTTTTACAGATTTATTTATTTATGCATACAAGAACTGGGGTACAGGCCAGAGGTGTGGGGGGTGAGAGGATCCACCAGAGACAGAGTAGGGAACAGAACAGGTAGACTGACTGAACTACGCTGCTGAGGGAAGCAGTGGGAGAGACAAGAGAGGTCTGCCACGCCTTGTGGGTCAGGTCCCTGGCCAGGGATTGAATTCATGCAACAGTGGCTAGCTACAGTTTGATAGCACTGAGACTTTAATCCCTGTGCCATCAGGGAGGTCTCAACCCTACTTCATTCTTGCCATTTCTCCTGGTCCATATCCAGTCTAACAATGCTTTTATTAGAAGGTAAAGTCAACTCTAGTAGAGATCAGCCCCTCTATGAAATCACAAAAGTGTACTATAAGGTTTCCTGGTTTCCTTCTAAGAGCCTTCTAAGCTAATGAGTGAATGTTTTCATGTGAATGATTTACAGTGACCTCTCGCTTCAATTCCTGTGTGTAGTGAAAAGCCTGGAGCCCAACGCCATTAAAGAAAATGTAGGATTATTCCTGCATATTATTCTAGGTATAGCTATTCTGAGTTAGTTTCTCATCTTTCTGTTCCCCCTTAATCATGTCCATAACCTGTGAAAGGAAGATTAAGCCAATCGAAAGAAAGGAGAGGGAAGTAGTAATGCAGACAGGAGAGATAAGAAAAAGTATCATCTCAGAGACAGGCATGGTTGTCTTGATAATTGACTAACTGTCTGGGTCTGACTCTTTTTTCTACCATTAGGTCCCCTGGAATATGTCTACATCTGTGAACCAGTTGTTTTTGCCAACTTAAGTGGATTCTCTTTCTGGCAACCAATCATCAACTCAATGAGCTAACCATGCCCAAAGCTGGGATCATTATGGGGAATTCTTACTCAGTGTCCTAGACCACAGCATAGAGCTGCTCCTTATACCACAACTCAACACATTAATAACACCACCAGCAGCAGTTACTTGTGCAAGAGTGAAACAAAGTAATTACTTTACATACCCTTTGCTGAATTTCTTGAATGGCGGCCTTATGACACTCCGACTTTTCACCACACAATGACGCCCGACTCTTACATTTGCCAGATCCCCTCGGATAATACAGTCATTCATCACAATGGTCTGTAAAACAAAACACATTTTAAAAAATGACCAACAGAGACTAAAACTTAATAAAAAAAGATTAAGTAACAAACACGGATTATGCTGAGCTTTATTGAGTCACGTGTTCTGTCAAACAGAATAACCTGGACGGTAAAGAGAACTGCCCAGCTGTAATATCTACAGCTACATGTCCCCAGCCCATCACAGGCCTGGCACTCACGGAATAAATACACAGTTTCAAGAGCACCTGTGCAGATGCAGTTTATGTACTTTCTCAGATTCATTTGATTCCCAAAGCCTTGCCTGCTTACCCAAAGAGTCCTAATAGCTCCTGCCTGGCTAATCTCCTAATACAACTATCTCTAACTTCCTGTTCCCAAAGGTGGGCCCACTGATGTTCTAGTTCCTCTCCCAATTTCTGGGCTCAGGTTAAGTGCTACACCACTGGGCATGATATCCAGCTTTCCCAGAGACTGCCTGGAGAGGTGGAATAACAGTCCAGAAGTTTGGGAGAACTAATACCCCATACTTGGTAAGGAGCAAGCTTCTTGAAATGTTTGGTGAATAAATGAATAAAGGGGGAGAGGGAGTGACTTGGGCTGGGGTTGTAGCTAGAAAAAGAAAAGTAAGCCAGAAACAGGATCATGAGGAATTATGTGTGCTGAGAGCAGAAACTTAAAACATTTTTCTCCTGGAAGATACTGAAATCAATATATATAGATAGATAGATATTGAAATCAATATAGATAGATAGACAGATTTATTATATCTCTATATATTATATAATGGTTTATTTTTATATCATTTTGTGTCTTTTCCCATCTCAGTTGTAATCCCCATGGGCTTCCCATCACCAAATCACCCGTTTGCCATCACCACAGTCCAGTACACTGCCCTCACCCCCCCATTTTTAATCCCTCAATGGGAAATTTTAACTGAGGTTTAACACAACTTAATCTTCATTAGAACTATTACTCTGGAGTCTGGGAGGAGGCAGGTAAAACAGAAGGGGAAGTGGGCTCTTAGAAGACTACAGTAGTTTTCGTTAAAAATAGTCAAAGGACCTAATCTCAGGCAACACCTATACATGAGAGAGAAATGAACAGAAGACAGAGGAAGATGTCACATCTTCAGATCTAACTACTGATTTAGAGGAAGAAAAGGGGGATAAAGACCACATTAAACATCTGGTTATAGGGCCTCCCTGGTGGCACAACTTAAAGAGCAGCACTAAGAAGCTAGCCACAGGCACTGTAGCATGAATTTGATCCCCAGCCAGGGAGGTGACCCACATAGCACAGCAGACCTCTCCTGCCCAGCCCACTGCTCCCCTCAGCAATGTACTTTGTCAACCTGCCTGTTCTGCTCACTGCCCCCCCATCTCTGGCCTGTACCCCAGATCTAAATTAGTAAATAAATTGTAAAAAATAAAAATTAAAAAATAAACAACTGCCTATAAATAAAGTAAGTCAAAATCAGAAATTTTAAGCTTCTATGGGGCAAATCAGCTGGGTTCCTCAACTTAATAAGTAGCAAGGAGAAAGGAAAAGACAGGATGGGGAAAGAGAACTATTACAGATGAAAAGAGACTTTAGATACCTGTCAACTAAACACAACATACTTGACCTTATTGGATCTTATCAGAATAAACCATTTGCAAAAAAAAAAAATCATTCAATGGGACAATAGTGCTTGAACAACTGGATTTCTACATTCAAACAATTAATTAGAACATATACATCATCCCATAAACAAACTTTAATTTCAAGTGATCAATGGCCTAAATACAAATATTAAAATCTTAAAATTTCTAGAAGGATACATAGGAAAAAATCTTCATGCCTTTTGGTTTGACAATGGTTTCTTAGACAGGAGACCAATAACTTGAGCAAGAAAAGAAACAACAAACTGGACTTCATCAAAATTTTAAAAATCTGTGTATCAAGATGCATTATTAAGAAAGTGAAAGAACAATCTACAGGATGGAAAAATAGTTGCAATCATGTAGCTGATAAAAATCTAATGTCCAGAATATGTAAAGAACTCCTACAATTCAACAACAAAAAGACAACAATGTAAAAATAGACAAAGGACTGAACAGACATTTCAGCAAAAAAGATATCCAAATGGCCAAAAAGCACATTAAAAGGTATTCGTCATTATTAGTCACTAGGGAAATACAAATCAAAATTATAAGGAGATACCTTTACAAAAAGTGGAAAACAACAAGTGATGGCAAAGAAGTTGAGAAATTGGTAATCTCTCCACATGTGGTGGGAATGTAAAAGGCGAACCTCTTGTGGAAAACAGTCTGGCTATTCACAAAACCACAGAACTAACAGATGACCCAGCAATCCCGTCTCTAGGTAAAACCACATAAGAACCCCAAACAGGGACTCAAACAGATATTGCATGCAATGTTCAGTGCAGCATTACTCCCCATAGCGGAAAGGTGAAAACAATTCAACAAATCAACAGAAGGGCAGACAAAATGTGTACAAATACAAACACTAGAATAGCATTCTGCCATGAAAAGTAATATAATTTTCTGATCTGTGCTACAACTTGGATGAACCTTGAAAATATTATGGAAAGTGAAATAAAACCAAAAAAGAACAAATATTACCTCATTCCATTTATATGACATATCTAAAATAGATAAATTCACAGGGACAGAAAGAAGACTGAGGTTGGGGGGGAGAAGGAAATAAGTTATTCTTTGATGGGTACAGAGTTTCTGTTAGGGTGGTGAGAAATTTTAGAAATAAATGTGGTATTGTAAATGTAATTAATACCAATGATTTAAACAGTTAAAACGGCTAAAAATGGCATATTTTGTCTTATATACTTTACCACCATAAAGTCAAATCTTGACTACAAAAATCACAAATATTTTGGAATTAGCTCAAGGAATTTTTCTTTAAAGATTTATTTATTTATGCATACAAGAACTGGGGTGTATGCCTGAAAATTATAGTATTACTACTTTAGTTTCTACCCAAAATATTTTATTGCCTGTTCTACCTCCAATAGGTTAGGTACAGTGATATTATATGGTAATCTCAGAGCTATGTGTCACTGTACCTTTTTCCTTGGTATAAAGGAAAAGGGATTTTCATTGCCTCTTTTTACAGGGGTATTTTCATTGCCCAAATTGGCTTTCTTGAATACAAAAAGGGTAAGAGAATTTAAAGTGTATAGCAGGGACACAGGGCAGTTTTATCTGCCTTGCTAATTAGTAGATGGAAACCAAAGACATTCTGGAGCGGGCTTTGTCCCTTACCTTGCCATTGAGAACGATGTTCTGACTGCCACACAACACTGACTGCCGGCTCACTTTGTTCCCAGACGCCTGAAAGGAAACAGCAGAGAACTAGAGTGAGTGCGTTCTAGCTGACAGTTTCCATCGAGCTTATATTGGCGAGAAAAGGACTTGAAATGGGGGGGTAGCTTGTCATGAACGGAGTCCAGGATTAAAAAAGCAAAGGTGCGTTAGGAAACCAGGGATTTAAGAAGTAGGTACAGAATCCGGACAGTTCTACTTTGGTTTTCCCTGCCTATAACGAGGGCAGCGATTGCAGCAATAGCATATAATAGAGTTATGAGAATTGGACGAAAAACAAAATAATAACGGTGACAGTGGGTGGTTACCCATTTCAGGCATTTCACCGCGTCAGGTACTGACTGTAAAGATGCACAGTCTTTAACATACAGTAATGCTTACAAAAACCTTCGTTCAGAAAATAGCTTAAAAGGGTCCTTAACTTGGACTGGACAGAAGGCTGGATATCCTGCTTTCTGGAAGGCGTTTTGCCTCTGTGAGGAAATCATGAATCAATAAAAAAGCCTAAACGGGCCTAGCAAGGACAAAACACCGAAGTCAGACCACACACGCCCGTACTCATCACAGGGACCCGGGGTGGGGCAGGCGCTGGGTGCGGCGCCGCCGCAGGGGGACGCAGGCTTGGGGCGGGGAGGACAGACGACTGGACACACGCACCGTCTCGATGTACTCCGACTTGTTGTAGAGCAGCTCGCCCAACTCCATGGTCACCAGCTCTTGCCGCAGCTCTTACTCCCGTCAACCTGTCAGACAGTCCCGGCGGCTGGGACTCCGGCTACTTCCGGCTGCTCCTTCACTTCCGTTCTGGGAGGCCTCTGGCCCCATCCACAGCTCGGCACTCCGCTAGACGGCCCCGCTCCTTTGCTCGGCAGTCTCCAGCTGCGCGTGCGCAGTCCGAACTCTGGCTGTAGTTGGCGGGATTGACAACCAGCCTAGCCCGCGTGGGGCTGCTTTTTCCACACCGAGGGGCTCCGGGGTCCCCCATTCCTTCCCGCTCGCCTCTGAGGCCCGGGGCCAGCCCCGGTTCTTGTGTCTGAAGTCGTGGGGCTGGCGACGGCTGCTCTTTTCGGTCGGTCATCGGCCCAATGGAAGAGCCTCCCGGGAAGCCCCTCAGCTTTGAGGAGAAGGAAAAGGTGCAGGATCTGGGGTGCGGGATGCGGGAAGGGCAGATTTAGAACCCTGATCCCCTTTCCTAGGATCTTAGGCCTTCTCGGCTTCCTCGGCCCTTTGAGGGCGGCAGTGACCTCTGACATACGCTCTTTGAACTGAGGGAGTGTGATGGGAGAGCGCTGTGCTCTGCTGTTGTATTTAAAGAACAAGTATTCATGTCAGTAGTGATGCATAAATACAAAACGCAAAATTTTACCTAAAGCTAAAGTCCCCTTTGCCTCTCCTACTCCCTTTTAAGCTTGGCTTCTCTCACCCCCTTAAGTAACCTCTTAAGTCTGGTACCTTTCCGTGTGTATTCCCCTGCCACGAAAAATAATGTGGTTTGGGGGCGAGCATATTCATAACTGTTATGATGAGAGTTTTTCTGCAACTTCCGTTTTCTCCACGTTTAACATCCATGCTAGAACATGTTTGCCTTTTTTTTTTTTATGCTCTGTAGTGGAATTCCATATTTTAGATATTCTTCGGACTCTTAGGTGGTTCCTTCTGCAACAGTGTAGCACCAGCCATGTTTTATCTATGTCATCAGACCCTTGTGCTGTTGACGTTAGCTGGAATGGATCTTGTGCTGGCACTTCAGGACCCATTCTTATCCCCAGCCTGTCCTTTAGGAAAAGGTCATTTATTCTGCAAGATTAATCCCAGATATTGAGTAGATTAGTGTGAGATGTAATCTAGCTTAGAGGTTAAAAGTAGAGACTAGAATTGGAATGTGTGAGTTTGAACCATGCCATTTATAAACTGGAATCATACCTTGTTTTCCTCTGATATCTCCAGAGCTAGCACCTTCTGCCTTCAGGTACAAGTGGTAGTCCAAAAAAAATGCCTCCATGGCCACCCTACCTGAAAGTCTCTTACCCTAGGCCAGGCACTCACATCTCTCTGATGATAAGATAGGATCATCTTACCTATTATTTGTTTCTTGCTTATTATCTGAATCTCTTACTATATGTAAACTTGACCACTGTGTATCTAGCATGTGGACACATACTGTCAGAAATACCTGGGCCAATAATTGACAGATAAGAGCTCCATTGGTCAAGTGAATTTCTAAGGATGACAGCTTCTGCTACATCAAGGATCTTTCTATGCAATGGAAGAAAACCAAAGCAGACACAGCAAAGTATAAGTACTATGACAAGGGAAATACAGAGGAGAGGTAGAGTGTCTACCCAGCATTTGGAGAAAGATCTAGAAATCTACCTCAGGACATAAAGTCTAAACTGAGGCTGGAGGAAATAGCACGATGATTTGGGGAGGAAATGCTCCAGATAGTTGAAGATGCTGTGCTATTTGAGAGCTTGGTGCTTTGTAAGAAGGGAAAACTATGTTCAGCTTCTGTTGCCTCTGGCTGAGCACCGCACTCATGTCTAAAGATGCCCTACCCCTCCCCTGTGACTCACCTTCCACATGCTTACTATTGCTTTTTTTCTTCTTCCAGTTGAAGGAAAAATTAGCATTCTTAAAAAGAGAATACAGCAAGACATTGGCTCGACTTCAGGTAAGCAAATCTTACTCTCTCAAATTGAGGTGTTACAGCACAAACTACATATAAACAGTTCTTTATAATAAGCGTTAAATTTTTTTCTTAAGTTTCTTAAATTCCTTGAGCTGCTTTTGTTTTCTTCAGCGTGCACAAAGAGCTGAGAAGGTTAAGAATTCTATCAAGAAAACAGTGGAAGAGCAAGATTGCTTGCTCCAGCAGTCGATTTCACCACAGCTCAACCACTCAGGTAAAGCAAACCTGTTTGCTGATGCTTGCTTTGTTATTGATTTCTTAGGTATATTTGACTGTGATTCTTTTTCTCACACCCAGACAAGAAGCACTTTAATTGTAGAATCAACAGTTCTTTGTATATCCAAAAGATTATACAATCATCATCACGACCTAAGTCCACAGCATTTTTACCACCCCCAATAGAAACTTCTACCCTTCCTACCCTTAACCTCCAGCAACCACTAATCTACTTTCTAATTTCTGACTTTAAGTATTCTGAACATTCTGAATACATAGAATGAAACAATATGTGATCTTTTGTGACTTGCTTCTTTGGCTTTGAATATTTTCCACAGTCATCTTTACATCCATTCATCCAAGCATGCATTAGCACGTCAATCTTTTTTGAAGCTGAATATTCCATTGTATAGATAGACCATAATTTGTATATACATTCGCCAGTTGATGAACATTGGGTTTTCCCTACTTTGGGGCTGTATGTTGTTATGTATGAGTGTTTATGTGGACATGTTTTTACTTTTCTTGGGTATATACCTAAGATTGGAATTGCTGGGTCATGTGGTATTTCTATGTTTAACTTTTTGAGGAACTGCCAAACTATTTTCTATAGTCACTGTACCATTTTACATTTCTACCATGATGAGCAAAGATTCTAATTTCTCCACACCTATCAATACTTGTAATGTTCCATTTTCTAAATTATAACCATCCTGGTGGATGTGAACTGAGATCAAATTGTGATTCTGATTTGCATTTCCTAATGATCTGTGATGTTTGTATTTCTTTCTTTTTTTGAGATCAAAGGAATGTTTTTGGAGAAAAGTCAAGTTCTTATTTTAATTGGGTTTTGTGTCTGTTGTTAAGTTTTAAAGATTCTTCCTATGGCCTAACTAATAGACACTTATCAGATAAATGGATAAATGGTTTATAAATGTTTTCCCTCATTCTTTGAGCAATAAGCTATGTTTTCAGTTTAGATTGTTTAACTTATTGTTCATTTCCCCCTGCACTTTTAGAAATTATATTTCTAAATCTTGGAAAAGTAGTTTTTAAAAAATTAAGTATCTATACATGCACAAAGTTATTCAGTTACTCTTTCTTATTCAGTTACTTTCAACTTATAGAAATTATATTTATTGTTTAAATACTAGAAAAGATGATTTTGTTTTAATATGTCAGTATTTATATATGTACAAAGCAGAGAGAATGGAAATACTCTAAAAACGTAGTGGTCATTTTTAATTTTAAAAGTCATGTCATTGATATTATAAAATTGGAAGCTATTGAAATAGGAAAGTAGTGTTAGAGTTACCCGAGCCAAAAAAGAAAAAAATACATGATATAAGGAATGAGATGAGATATGGGGAGCTGGGAATTGTGGGTCAGAGGATACAGTGTCTCAATTGTACAGAATGAGCAAGTTCTGTAGATCTCAAGTACAGCATGATGACTATAGTTACTATGGGTAATCATCCTGTATTGTGAACTTGAGATTTTTGTTTTATTTGTAGTTGTTGTACACTTGAAATTTGATCTTAAATATTTTTGCTATGTACAAAAAATCCATACCTCTGTGAAATGATAGTTATGTTATTTAGCTTAATAATAGTGACATTTCACAATGTTTCTGTCTCTCAAAACATCACACTGTATATCTTAAATATGTAAATTTTTTATCTGTCAATTATATCTTAGTAAACCTAGAAAGAAATTAAGGGGTATGACTACAAGAAAGAATAATTTTTATAGTTGAAAAGCCTCTTTCCCCCAAATAACTTTACATTTAATGTTAAAGTTATACTTTATTAGATTATTTTTTTAAAGTTTTAAAAATAGATTATTAAAAAGTTGGATCTGCCTGACTGAAATACCATTGAGTCTTTCTTAAATCAATGCTTGTATATAAATAGTATTCATAGGTAATATTTTACAATAACTATGAAGTTTTTGTTTTATTTTGAAAGGAAAACATTGTAAGTATATGCTTTTTTTTCATCCTCAGAACCTAAAAATAAAACATCTCCTTGTGATATATTACAAATAAATGGCTATCTCGATGAAGAAACTGGAGAGAAGAAGACACCTCTCACACTTGACATTGAGTGTGGCTCCCTTAGCCCTGGGGATGATCCAGAGGAAAGGTTACATTTACTAAGAGCAGATGTCCTCCATAGAGTCCCTGGCTCTGATGGTGAGAAAAGGCAGAATCAGCTGACAGGAAGAAAAAATAAGCAGCAGAAGAGAACATTTGCTTCACAGGAAAGAGAATCTTTCTTAGACATGGATATACTCATGCTCTCTAGGAAAAGGCTAAAGGAACAGGAAGAGATCAACAGAGACTATCCTAGCACACCTGTAAGTGAAAGCCCTAAATCTGACATTCCAGATTCTCCAGTAGTGCTTACAGAAACTTATGAAGAGAGTGAATTAATTCCACCAACTGCCAATCCACAAAGAAATGTTGATGTACATTTACGAGAAAATCATTTTTCTGTGTTGACTCCAGTTCCTTTGCATACCCCATCAGGTACCGGTAGTCATCAACACCTAGATCATAACCCCCCTGAAGGTAACCCTGAACTCAGTGCTCACAGTTTAAAAAACATTGGCCCTGCTTCACCTGTACACTTAGGGACGCAAGACAAAAGAGTGACTATCTTTACCAATACTCCAGAAGTAAATAAAGCTGTAAATACAGGTGACCAGTTGCCTGTAAGTCCTAAATTAGAGGCACATAATTCATCTATAGATGAACTCACTTACAAAGACTTACTGGCCCATGAAAACCAAAGATTAAAAGAAGAAAATCACACAGAGAAGTCTTTTGAATCTCTTGATGCTAGCAATGAAAGTCTTCAGGAAAGTGAACGTCTAAGTCAGTCTCAGAGTGTTAGCCTGGAAGTAATCTCTCCTGTTTCTGCAGAAGGTCAGATACATTCTTGCACAATGCTGGAAGGCCTTCTGTTTCCTGCAGAATATTATGTTAGGACAACTCGCCACATGTCAAATTGCCAGAGGAAAGTAGCCCTGGAAGCTGTAATTCAAAATCATTTGGGTGGCAGAAAGAAAGGGTCTAAAAATAAAAATAAGGAAACAAATAAAAATGTAAACCCTTCCAATGAAGAAAAGGACCAAAGTGAAATTAGAACGTCTAACACATGTACAGAACTATCAAGTTCAAGAAGTCCATTTCTGAAACTTTTTTCATTAACTGGAATTAACTCTTCCTCTGGAACCACTCACCATGACTTTTCAAGGAAGGTGGTTACCCAGCCATCTGCTAGAAGACACAGAGGGAAAAGGAAGTCAGTCTGCACCCCGGTATTAGATTGTCATGAACTGCTCCTGTCAACTTCTGGCACAGCAGGTGTTTGTAGGACCAAGGAACAAGTCTCCTTGCACAAAGAACAGAATCAAAAACCAATTATTCATGACAAGAAGAGAATTAAAGGTAAACTAAGGTGTGGTTCATGATGACAGTGATGATGATAGTTAATGCAGTGTACCTCCAGTTTCTAGATGTCATGCAGACACTGTTAATTCACTGAATGATCACAGCAACCCTCCATGAGGTAGACATTTTTTATCCTCACTTTACAGATGAGAAATGTAAGGCACAAAGGGCTTAAACTGACTTTTGATAATTTAACTACAATAGCCGCCAGGAATTAAAACCTGGCTGTATGGTGCCAGAGCTCATTACTGTGGTTGAGCAAGCCAACACTAAGAAAGGGAATATATTGAATATTTACCTAAAACAGGTATTAAAATGACATAATTTTTTTTTTTAAAGATTTATTTATTTGTGCATACAGAACTGGGGTACAGGCCAGAGGCTCAGGGGCGGTGAGAGGCTTCATCAGAGACAGAGCGGGGAGCAGAACAGGCAGATCGAGGAAGTACACTGCTGAGGGGAGCAGCGGGCGGGTCAGGAGAGGTCTGCCACGCCATGTGGTCACCTCCAGGGCAGGGGGGAATCGAACTCATGAGGAAGCGGCTTTAGATTCTCAGTGCTGTGCTTTAACCCGCTGCGCCACCAGGGAGGGCCTAAAATGACATAATTTTTATTGGTAGGTAGAAGCTTTATTGCTACTATAGGAATTGTTTTTAAGTACAATGAAATGTCAGGGTAAGAAGTCACTGACTCATGATATAATACAGTGCAATCAGTCTGGGCAGCCTTTTTATTTTTTTGAAGTTGTATTTATTTATGCATACAAGAACTGGGGTACAGGCCAGAGGTACAAGGGGTGAGGGGAGCAGAATAGGCAGAATGACTGAAATATGCTGCTGTGGGGAGTGGTGGGTGGGTCGGGAGAGATCTGCCATGCTATGTGGGTCCCCTCCCTGATCAAGGTTGAACTAATGCTGCAGTAGCTTGGAATAGCTTCACAGTGTTGTGCTTTAACCCGTTGCACCACCAGGGAGGGCCCTGAGCAGCCTTTTTAGATTAAATAATATAGTCCTATGGTCTATAGGACAAAAGATTTTGAAGGATAGCAAGTGACATGTTGTGATTTAAATTGTTTCATCCATTTACTCAAGAGTTCTCATGTCAGATAATGTAGATTAAAAACTATCAATAGATAACTCACGCTTCTATACTAGAGCTTAGGAAACTTTCTATAAAGGAAAAAGTTTTGTGCTCTGTTACAGCCTCTCAAATATGATGTGGCAGTAAATAATATATAAATGTCACTGGGTTTCAATAAAATTTTACCAAAACAGAGAGCCAGCCGCAGCTAAACTGAACACTACCATTGATTGCAGGCTTTAGTGTATGAGCTATAATTAATTAAAAAATACCAATCATTTTGACATTTGATCATCTCTTCAGCCAACAAGAATATAGAGAAATCAGAAAGCAGGCAATCATTTAATAATAAGAGAAAAATATTCTTTTGTATGCTTTGAAATAATTTATGATTATTTGCTTTATTTAATAACCCACAACTACATTAAAATCTTTTTCCCTTGGGGTGACATTTACATAACAAAATTAAACATTTTAAATTAAGTGAACAATTCAGAGGCATTTCGTCCATCCACATGTTTTGCCACTCTAACTCTTGTCTAGTTCCAAAACACTGTCATTGCCCCTAAAGGAAACTCAATAATTGTCCATCATATGTATGTGCTGTAGTTCCTTTCTCCATTCACTAGGTGATAGATGCAGGTGCATTTTGGATGTACAGATTTCATTTGCTTCAAGAGAAATAAACTACTCTGCTTGAAAGGGAGACTGAGCTTTCTTAAGAGCCAGTGTTTTGTAGACCATGCTCTGATACCCTGCCGGAATCAAGGTGTTACAGGGGGAGGACTTGAGAGATTGGTAGCCCTATTCCCTTTATGAGGCACAAGGGCAGGCGAAATGAATTGGCCTGCGGGAGACAGCACAGCACAGCACCCCAGTGGCACAGCTGGTCCTAGACTCCGTCTTGCCTCAACGTTACTGTACTGGTTTTGCAGGAGGAGAGCTGCCATGGGTCTGTAGCTGCTGGTTGAACTGTTCACTGAGACTTCCGAGTAATGCGTGGGAAAAGTAATGCACATTCTGTGCTGTGTTAATTTAAAAATTCACTCCTTGTTCGGTATTTACTGGGTACTGCTGTCTCTGGTCAAAAAGAGAGTTCTCTTCTAGTAATACTGCCTATTTGACTTTGAATAAAAATGCATTTGTTGTTCCATTTCATAAGAAACTAATTTTAAAGCAACTGTGATCTTTTCTCAAAATCACAGATTTTCAGTTACCTGATGAAGACTTTGGATCTCTTAAGCTCGAAAAACTGAAGTCCTGCCCAGAAAGGCTGCTTGAGCCTTTTGGATCAAAACTGTACCAAGAGAGACATCTTAAAGAGAGAAGCTGTGTGGATTCAGAGGAATTCACTCCTAAACAAACAGATACAGAAATGGAGGACTTGGAAGAAGAACTTGCTGTTCTACCAAGAAAAGCACATCTTAAAATGCCGAGCTTCAAAAGCAAGCCTCGAGATAAGGGCCTTTCTTCATCCATGTTACTTTTCACTCCTGTAAATACTGTTGCAGCCGATGATGAGGGCAGACCCACAGCAGACATGTGTTCGCCTGCTTTCCCCATCTTGGGCCCTACTCCAGCTTTTGGTTCCCAAGCACAGGGTGGAAAAGCATCGGCAGAGGTTGGAAAAACTTGCTCCCAGCTCTCCCACTTGAAAGTCACAGTCAGTCATGATGGAAAACAATGCACCCGTTGGGCCAGCCCGCCGAAATCAGATAACCTGCCTGTTTTGGGTGGGGGAGGACAGCCTGCTGGTGACTGTGATTCTGGTCCTCAAGTGACACCTCTTCCCACGGACTCATTAGCTTTCAGAGAAAATCAGCTACATGGAGATACATGCCTGGAGTCACAGAAACAGTCTATTGAACAGGTATAATCCAATTCTTTGTGAGATTTTTTGTCTCTGGAGGAGTGAAATACCTTAATAAATATGAAAACATGACTTTTTTACACATTTAGGAATGTTTTAGCTTGTTACTTTGATATCATTTCACTGCAAGCATTGAATTCTGGATGGGAAGGAGGGGAATTAGGTTAATTTAAAAAATTGATTATGGAGGATCATCTTTTTACTATCTTCCATGTAATGTTGAATTTGGAGCTTTGAGAGAATCAAGAACATGCGGTAAACATTTTGATGAGCGATGTAGGCTAGATGCGTACATAAAGCATAGATTAATGGTGTGACTTTTGTTTCCACAGACTGAAATAACAGACCTTCCTGCCTGTGATAGCTTAAACCCAGGCAACCTACAATTGGTTTCAAAGTTAAAGGTCAGAAGACTATTCCCTTACAGTAAATGTGTCTTGTGTCTTACATGTGAACATTTTAATGGATAGGAAACATGAAAACTTGGGTATAGGCCAGAGGTGCAGGGGCGTGGGGGGGAGAGGATTCACCAGAGACAGCGTGGGGAGCAGAGCAGTGAGATTTAATGAAATACACTGTGAGGAAGTGGGAGAGATGGGAGAGGTCTGCTGTGCCATGTGGATCAGTTCCCTAGCTGGGGATCAAACTCATGCTACAGTGCCTAGATAGTGCTGAGACTTTAACCCCTGCACCACCAGCAAGCCCCATGTAGTGCTATTAAATAAACTCAGTAAAACTGATTAAGGAAAACAAATTTAAATCCTTTGTTTTTCATTGATATTTACATTTTTGACATCTCCCAAAGAAGTTGATATGTCAAGCTAAGCTTAGATCTCAACTTAGTATCTAAATTTAAAGTTAGGCATTTTGACAGGAAGGAAAACAGACATCGTTCATGGTTCTACCCAAATTGTGTGACATTTCTGGAGGAATCACAAGGAAGGGTAGCAGCTCTGGAGTGTGACAGAGAGTGAACGGTTAACCTTTCGTGTGCTTTATGATATGTGTGATTCCGAGAAATATAAATTGTGATGTTCTGTTACTACTGTTTTTTGTAAATCCTGAGACGCGGATTACACCTCTGGACATGTTACTGGAGTAGCATTGTGGGGAGCAGGGTTTCTCAGTGGCAGTCCACTGCTGTGTCCAGCTGCATGATGGTCTGCAGGGCAGCAGGGGCTTGCCCCTGCACTGTAGAATGTTCAGCAGCCTCCCTGGCTTCTACCCGCGTGTGTCACCGGTGCCCACTCCCAGGTTGTCATAACCAGTAATGTCTCCAGGTATTGGTATGTGTCCCCCAGGGAGCATTGCACAGAAACCCCCAATTGAGAACACTGGTGGAGAAGGAAGCAAGGAGTGGAATGTACCCTAAGAAACTGTTTCTGGCGAGAGTTCTTTCACCTCTGAACCACAGATTCCTTTTCTAATAAGTTTTTTTTTTAATCTGTTTATATGCAAGTAAGTTTCTCTCCCCTGAATCCCCTATTTCTAAGTTAGATAGTTTGTTTTTTCCTACATCAGACTTAAGAGATTTGTCCAATCTGTTCGTCTTCCAAAAACAAACAAGCAAAACAAACCTGATAATTTGGGTTATATTGATTCTTTCTTTGGAATTTTTTGGTTCCCATTTTATTTTTGTTCTGTTTTTAGTCTTAATAAATTCTTCTGTTTTCCATTGTGCAAAATTTGTTCTTTCACTAACTTCTTGAGCTGCTTGCTTGCTTTATTTTACTCTTTCATGTTTGTTGACAAATGCCTTTATGATTATAAATTTCTTTTGGAAATATTTCTTTGGGCACACTCGGTGTTTGGATACACAGTGTTCTGCTTGCTGTTTGTTTAGAAATGGTATGTCAATTCAATTTAATTCCCTCTATCCATGGGTGGTATACCAGGATGTTTAATTTCCAGGTGGCAACGTTTTTATTGACTATTTTCTGTGGTCAAATCTGAATCTGTTCCATTCTGGAGCAGGATATTTATAAATCTATCATGATATAAGTGCATGTAGGCAGTTTTTGTAGTTATATAAGGCCCACAAAGCTCAGTGTTTTGACCTGCATAAAACCATAGTTACACCCAGTTTGTATTTCATCTTGTCCTTGTAAGCTATCGGTCTTCCTATTTAGTCTTTTCAGAAAACACACCCCAAGTAACCCATTATGTAACTGTTGCTGCCATTCCTTATCAGAATCCTTCAGGCTCCTGTTCTGTGGATGTGAGTGCTGTGTGGTGGGAAGTAGCCGGCTTCAAAGAACCGTGCATTATAACTGCTTGCGAAGATGTAGTTTCTCTTTGGAAACCTCTGTGTGCTTGGCAATGGGAAAAGATTTATTCTTGGCACTTCACAGAGGTAAGCCCGAAGCTTAGAGATGTAAGAGAGTTTTGCAATCATTTGCATGGTGATACAGATGGGCAGCTCACCTAAAATGGTTCAAGGGCAATCGTGGCAACCGAGAGTTGAGGTTTGTTCCTGACAGTTATTACTGGGATTTTATTCCCAATGTTTTATTTATTCCCAGCATTTCATTATGAAAAATTACAAAGCAAATTGTACAGTAAGCACCTGTATACCTGCTGTGTAGACTCTGCTAATACTGTTGGGTTATATTTGTTTTATCATGTTTAGGCCCTGATGGAGTTTTATACTAGACCTGTTGAGGGAACTTGGAATTTCATGTCTATTCTTACTTCTAAACTTACTTCTAAACTTGGTACCTATATTCTTTATTATTCGCTAAAACATTATTTGTGTTTCTTTTCCAATATATACTTTCTTCTAATCCTTGTCCACCTTCATATATCACTTACATGCTTGCAATCCTAGTGTGTTTAAAATTTTTTAATCTTCCTTTCCTCACCTTTTAAACATTTTTCCTTGTTTCTACATATTCATCTGTTTTGAATTTTATGTATTTATTTTTCCAGCTTTAGTGAGGTATAATTGACAGAACTGTACTATATTTATTGATGCACACAAGAACTGGGGTTCAGGCCAGAGGTGCAGGGTGTGAGAGGATTCACCAGAGACACAGTAGGGAGCAGAACAGGCCGACTGACTGAAACACACTGCTGAGGGGAGCAGTGGGGAGACAGGAGAGGTCTGCTGAGCCATGTGCATCAGCTCCCTGGCTGCCGATGGAACTCGTGCTGCAGTGGCTGCGGACAGCTTCATAGTGCTGCGCTCTACACCCTTGTACCATCGGGGAGGGCCCAGAACTGTACTATATTTAAAGCATATGGCATGATTATTTTCTATATGTACACACTGCAAAAGGATTTTCATGGAAGTAATTGACACATCTATCACCTTACATAGTTACTTTTTCTGGAGGAAGGAGAGAGTGAGGATATTTAATATCTACTTTCTTACCACATTTCATTCTTATTCTGTAGCATATCCCAAACTTCTAACACTACGCCTCTACTGTGCAGAGAAGTGCTTGATAGTGGTTCAGTGAATAAACTTGCCTAAATGTCTGTGTAGTATTTCTTTTGTTCACATTCTAGAATTTACTTACTTATTCCCTGCTTGTTAGAAGTACAGACTGCGTGAAGTCAGTGCTTCAGTAGACACTACTGCATATGCAGCTTTCCTGATTTATAGCTTACAAAAAGGGTGTTTGTTCAGATGTGGAAAACTGTCCTGGTACAGTCAGAATAAATAGCAATGTGACAAATTTTGGAAAATTTAGATGAATTAAGAATGAAACAGACAAAAGTAAATCTCGATTGACAGTTTTGTGTTATTTAGGTTCCAGTGTTACAGATAGTTCCAGTGCCTGATGTTTGTAGCCTTGTGTGTGTGGCTTTGGGGAATTTGGAAATCAGAGAAATCAGGTATGTCATTCTTAACGCATCATTTTTTTCTTTCCCTTTACTTTTGTCTTAACTTGTGAGTAAAGTTTATAACCTAGGCATAAATATTGAAGGAATCTGAATTAGATCTAAAGAGATACTTATAATATTTTTTAAAAAGCAGAACAAAACACAACTTAACGATAGAATGAGATCCCTGACTGTGGTTTCCAGTTAAAATTTGAACCTAATCCTTTAATATTAAAGGCTTGCTCATTTCTCTGCATTTTTCCCTTATATTTGGTTTAGGACATTACTTTGTTCCTCTGATGGTAAAAGTGAAAAGCAAGTACTACTGAGTTCTGGAAATATAAAAGCTGTGCTAGGCCTGAGCAAGAGGAGACTAGTGAGTAGCAGCGGGGCCCTCTGTGATCAGCAGATAGAACTCGTGGCGCTGGCCGCAGATGGCGGGTAAGGAGAGCTGGGTTGGCTTCAGCTGTTAGCTGAGGAAAGACTGTATCGTGGGGCTTCAGGGATCGTTGGAGCACTTGCATCTTATTTTTCCGGGCTGTGGGTACTGCCTCCACACTGTAATGCAGAACCAGTTTAGAGGGGTAGAGCTGGACATGGCAGGGAAGAAGTCAGTGGAGTAAAAAGCTCAGCAAATGCATTTTGTTCTTTCTTCAGTCTCCAGAATCTCTGTGTGTCCCTTAAGTATTACAATCACCTGACGATCTTAGACCCTTTTCTTACTCCACATACCTGATTTCCATTGCTTCATTTACCACCTAAAGGGTGACCACTTGCAAGCACATATTTGTGGGTTGAACTTTCCTACCCTCTAGACCTGCATGCCTCTTTCTCAGGAGTGTCACGGACCGTATGCTTATTACACGGACAGTGGTTACTGCCTGTCTTTCCCAATAAAGGGCAGGGGACTGACTTCTCTGATGTACTCAAGACCTATTGCAGCAGTCTAAACAAGAGACAACTGATTGTTGACTTAAATTAAGAACGTGTTAGTGAAGCTAGAGGGAAGCAGATAGATTTGAGAGGGATGTGATGGTAAAAGGCGAACGGAGAAATGTATGATGGCGATTTCTGAGTTGGTCCCCTGAGTAGATGTTGGTACAGTCCGTTGAGATGAGAATGCAGAAAACAGTTTAAGAGAAAGCTAGTGAGGGTAGTTTGGGATATGGGGAATTTGAGGTGCTTGCAATATATCCAGGTAGATTATATGAAAATAATATGAGGAAAGCTTAGCATACACTTGTTGACATTTTTTTCTGGTACAGATTAGTGTTTATTGTGCATATATCAATAATTTGTAGAAAGACATCTTGGTTCAAAATACTGATTTTTAATGTTGTTTTAAATGCAGTAGCAAGGAAAAGCAATTTTTGATGCCCCCTGAAGAAACCGTTCTAACCTTTGCTGAAGTTCAAGGAATGCAGGATGCTCTGCTTGGTAGCACTGTAATGAACAATGTCGTGATTTGGTGAGTTTCCCTCAAGGTCTTCAGTTTCCTTATCTGTAAATAAGGAAACTTTACTTGTAAGTTCATAAGGTTGTTACGATTAGGTTAGAGACTAACTAGGACTGTGGTTTGTGTGTGTGTGTGTGAGAGAGACATAGTATATTTAACAGGACTATAACATTAATTCAGACATTGTGAAAAATATGTGTCTGGGTTAGACAATTTTAAAATAAATAGACTTTTATTATTGTCAGAAATATGTGATTTTGCTTCTGGTTAAAGGCTGTGTAGTTTCAATCAGACCAACTCTCCCACCTTAAATAACTCTAAAACAAAATATAAAACTGCCATAAGGCACAGGAAAATGAGAAAAAGGAGAAAGATCCTAAAGGTGGTTTGGCACTTAGAAGAACAGAATGTCACTGGGCAAGCTTCCTGTTCTTAGAGCTTTTAGCTGGCGGGTAATATGAATTCAGGGAGGACCATGTGGGGCTGGAAACCTCTATGGGGAATTTAGAAGCTACAAACAGGGGTGCCTTCCCAGCTTCAAGTTGCCTTGTGATCCATCACACAGAAAATGCTGGGGACAGGGATTAGTAAAGGACAGCGGGAACTGAGGACTGCGAGAGCAATGGGAGTGAGGATCATGGGGTAGGTGGAGAGGAAGTTGTATTAGAAAATTTGGGCAAATGAAAGCACAAGAAAAGCAAACATGGTCACCACTGAAGGTTTTATTAGGGGTTGCGAAGGAGGGATGGAAGTCTGTTGATAAGGTGGTAATGTACAGGATGATCTGCAGGTTGGACATTGATTGATGGCTAGGAGGCCAATTACTAGTCATATTAGTAACTGAGGAGTCAAATATTGAAGGCTTTTTGCCCTTCTTTATATTTACCTTTGCTTTAACCTCTCTTTTCTCATGTTATCCTTCATCTAATTTTCACTTCTCTCTGTTATATTTGGCTAGCTTTGGTATAAACATATCTTATAGAGACACAATTCTACCAGTTTTTTCCCTTGACCGTTGTCTTCGTGGAACATTTAGGCAAAACAAGAAGAATAACAAAATCAAAATGATAGTGCTACATGTAGCATGTGTCTGATCGTGTAAGCAATTACATGAGATGACAGAGAGTTTTTCTCATGGAATTTGGAAAGACTTGTTCTTCTTGGCATAGGAGGTTCAGTCTAACCAAAACTCAAACTACTGGCATTGGTAACTTAAGTTCTGTTTTTAGCTGAATCCATGGTTCTTTGTCCCTAAGTTTCTCCCTTGGTCACCTAAGGATCCTGTGATGAATAATAGAATTTTATATGAAAAACATTTTTCTGGAAGATTGTTTTATTTATTTGTTTTATTTTATTTATTTGTTTTTGGTATCTAAGGAACTTAAAAACTGGTCAGCTCCTGAAAAAGATGCACCTTGGCGACTCCTTCCACGCTGCAGTCTGTCACAGAGCCTATTCTGAGATGGTGAGTGACGACCTGCCGGGCCCCGTGTCACTGCCGGGCTCCCTGAGCGAGTGTGACTTTGTGAGCTGGAATGAAACACCTTCTCCCTGCCTGTTTTTTGTCTGTTTTTCCAAATTGGACAGCAGTTTTCCTTCTTGAACATCGATGGATGTTATTGATACAGCATGATTACTTGGTAAATTTTCTGGCTAACGTAAGGGCAAACTTTTGCTTCTAGCAGGCCATTTGTACTGAGAAGCAAGCCCGTGGTAGACTTGGCACAGCAGTAGGTGCATTATGTGACTGAATACCCTTAGCGAGGATGGTCACGGAGTCCTGGGCGTATCCTCTTGGGCTTAGTGTTCTCAGGTAGAAACAAAAGTTTCTTAGTCATTGTGTGAATAGACTTGATTTACAGTCTTATTCTGATGTCGGAGTAGGTTGAAGGCAGCTGGCCAGGAGTCCGGTGGCCGATGCCACTGGTGAGCCAGGGCAGTAGCAGCCGGCTCAGCACTTGTGTGGAGACTAACTTGCCCTGGAGCCCTTGCAGCCCCTCAGAGCTCAGCACCCACTTCCCTGCTCAGCGCTCTAACGTCGTGTGATTTCCTATCACCTTACCTCGAGGCCATCCTCTTCAATCCTAAAATAAGAGGATTGGATTTTTTTTGAAATTATAAAATTCACCACTAGGTATTTACATCATTTCATGCCCTTATTATTGTAACACCTATTTAAGTATTAAGACATTTAACACAAATATATAAAAGAGTAAGTGAAAGTCTCCAATAAGTCAGCCTGTAGAAATAACAGTGAGCAGCTTAGTTTGGGGGTCAGCAAAAAAGATCAGGTGGTGAATGTTTTCAGGTTTGCAGCCACCTGGTCTCTGTTACTCTACTGTCTGCCGCATTGCCCCTAACAGTTGCCACAGGTGATATGTAAGCCAGTGGATGTGGCAGAGTTCAGTAAAACGTAGTAATTGAGACCACTTTCTGAAACTTGACTTCATATTATTTCACATGTCACAACATATTCTTATGTTGATTTTCCCCCCAGCCATTTCAAGTTGCAGAAGATACTCTTAGCTCATCAACAGTGCAAAAATAAATATTGAACCAGATTTGACCTTGGGGCCCTCGTTTGCCAACACCTACTTAAGTTTATGGTACTTAACCATTTTTGACACTCACTTGGTTCATAATTCTAAAAGTTATTTATTCTCACTTCAAAATTTAATCATTCTAGAAATGTATAGAGTTATTAGTCCTAAGATGGCACAATAGTTTTCCCTATTTTACCCCCAAAGAAAATGACTTCTACCATGTAACACAGATGTGTCTGTCTGTATGTCCGTGTGTGAGAGATATATACATATCTACACACAGTAATATTATTAGAAAATGTAAATGTAAAACTGAGAGCACATTTTTCACAGAAACAACCGTGGGTATGATGTCTTTTTTTTTTTTTTTTTTTTTTCTGCTCTTACTCTGTAAGTCCAGCTATTCTAGACTGGCCTAAAAATCCAGTCACCACTTACAAAATTGATTTTGTTGGCAAATGTTTTCAGAATTTTCAAAGACCAACTTCCCTAAGCCTTTCCATTGTGAGGCCTTGTCCATGGGTCTATATGCCCTCTCTCCCTGAACAGCTTTACCCCAGAGGGATAGCGTGAGATGGTAGTATAGCAAAGTGGAGGAAATTGATGCGTCAGCTATATTCACGCCTGTGAGACTGGCTGGAAAAGCCTGCAAGCTCTGTGCTAGAGGAGCTGGAAGTCCAGCTCAGTGGTCATCCCCAGCAGCTCCCTAGAAACAAATGAGCCAGAGATTACCTCTGGCTACTTAAAGAACCTGAGGATCATTCATGTAATTCTCTGGTTCTATCTCTGCCAATCTTTTTTTCTCTTCACTTAGGGGCTCCTGTTTGTGGTTCTGAGTCATCCTTGTGCTAAAGAGACAGAGCCTTTGGGAAGCCCTGTGTTTCAGCTGATCGTGATCAACCCCAAGACTGCCCTGAGCATGGGGGTGCTGCTCTACTGCCTCCCTCAGGGGCAGGCTGGAAGGCAAGTGTGTGGCAGTTATTTAGTGAGTGAGCACACAGCAGATGTTCCTGCGTCACCTGGGTGAATGAAGAACATGAAACCCTAGATGATGATAAAGATGGTTAGGAAGTCTTCTGAAGTGTGAAGTTTAGTAGCTCTGAGTCAGACTCTGATGCCCTGCTTCCTGATCCCCACCAATGTGAAATTGAACATAACTGTATTTATATATATCCCAGCCCTGGTTTTTTCCCATCATGCAAATGTAAATACAGACTTAATGTTCTCTACAACAATTTGTGTTCTCTCCCTAAGACTTAAATATCCATGAGGAAGACATCTTTACTTAGAAATGTGACTGAGCCTGTATCAGACTGATAAATATTTACCTAGTGACTGGTGAAAAGGCCTTTTAATGACACTGTTATTACCACCCAGGTAGCTAAGCACAGAGCCCCTGTTAAAAGCAACCAGACTTCTGGTTTTTTTTTTTTTTTTTTTTTAAGATTTATTTATTTGTGCTTACAGAGCTGGGGTACAGGCCACAGATGCAGGGGCGGCGAGAGGCTTCACCAGAGACAGAGTGGGGAGCAGAACAGGCAGATCATTGAAGTACACTGCTGAGGGGAGCAGCGGGCGGGCCAGGAGAGGTCTGCCACGCCATGTGGTCACCTCCGGGGCAGGCAGGGATCGAACTCATGCGGAAGCGGCCCTAGCTTCTCAGTGCTGTGCTTTAACCCGCTGCTCTACCAGGGAGGGCCAGACTTCTGTTTTTTGATGTGCACGTTTTTGTGGGTGAGATCCTTACCTGCATGTGAGTATGATAATCTCACATGGGGAAGAGTGCTTAGAAGAGAAAGCAGGTAATGTGGGAGAGGGAGTAGAGCACAACTGTGTGCCCTAGAAAGGTAGGGACGACCTTTCTGCAGAGATGACGGGCCTGAATCATGGCAGAACCAGCCACGCTATGGCCTCTGGCTGAGACCTGCCAAGGAGAGGGGAGAGCACGGGCAAAGACAGTGAGGATGCTTTGAAGAGTGGGGAGACAGGCCACTGTGAGCTGAGGTGCAAAGGGTATGAGGCCCAGCATCTCCATTGGCAGGGTCAGGATAATCGATGGTGCCCAAACTGCCCCAGCAGCCGATGCAGACATCATATTGCAAACCCGAGTAGACACCCGTGTTTACAGTATCTTTGCCCTTCTCCTTGCTTCAGGGAACATGATTTCAGCCTACTTTAAAAAAAAAAAATAAGTTGTAAGTTAAGTTGTCTCTTGTCTGTTTGACATCAGGTTCCTGGAAGGTGACGTGAAAGATCATTTTGCAGCAGCAGTACTGACTTCTGGAACAATTGCCATTTGGGACTTACTTCTAGGGCGCTGTGCTGCTCTCCTTCCACCGACCTCTGGCCAAAGTTGGTCTTTTGTTAAATGGTCAGGTACAGATTCTCATTTGTTGGCTGGACGAAAAGATGGAAGTATATTTGTATATCGCTACTAAGAAGTTGGAAAGTGGAAAGCATGTGTTCTGGTTCTACATGACCACTTGGTACTTCTTGGCACTGTAACCATAGGAGAGATTCTGAATGACACTTATTCATTCAGACAGACTTATTTTTTATTTTGGCAATGGTGTACTACTGATCTTGAATGTTCACTTATACTTTGGGGGAATGGATTTTAGGTTGATTTTTATAATTCCTCAAATTTGCACATTTGCTTTTAAAGATACACAATAAGCTTCATATGTTAATAAATATTTATTTTGATACATTCTGCTTGATGCATTATTTTTCCCGTGCTGTTGGGATCATTTTCATAAACAAGGACCAGTTACCTTACAACTAGAGTATTTAGTCAATGAGGCTTGCACAGTAAAAGTTGACTCACTCTCCTAACATGCAGTGTGCTTTTTCAAAAAAGTTTTACTTATTTATGCATACAAGAACTGGGGTACAGGCCAGAGGTATGGGATGGGGGCTGTGAGAGGATTCACCAGAGACAGAGTGGGGAGCAGAACAGGCAGATCTACTGAAACACAGTGCTGAGGGCAACAGCTGGGAGACAGAAGAGGTCTGCCAAGCCATGTGGGTCAGTCCGGTGGGACTTGCGGGTAGCTTCATAGTGCTGCACCCACCACCAAGGAGGGCCCTGCAGTTGGGTTTTATGCTATTGGGTTGTTGAAGAAATCATGACACATTTTTGCTTGAAAAATAAAAATTATATCATGACTTTTCCGGTGATCCTATTTATAATATTTTATTTCCACATTAAAGTAATACAGAACCTATTCAAATATGCTGATTTAGCAATGCTGCTGTTCTCTTTCTGTTCTCATGCATCTTTGATACCAGCACCTGCATTACCATAGTCACGGGAGCACCAGCACAACCATATAGCTTCACCTTTGCCTATGTGATTTGAGAGACAGAGCTTGTTAAAGTACTAATCTGGTAGTAGAATTGGAAATGTTATCGCAAAGTACAAGTATTTGCCTAACATTCTTACTGAGAGTTTATAGTAAGAGCTACAAAATATTAGGATTTGTTTACTACTTCTCTTTTAAAGATACTTTACTATATTTACTGTAGTAGTTTATGCTGACTTCATTGTTACACTGGATGCATTTGCATAAAAAATTCAGTTTTCTTAAACTAATTCTGTTCCCACTATCTAATCTCAAATGAGAGGTACTTCATTTGCTAGCACATCATAGATAAGATTTAACTTTGACTCAGGAACCCAGAGAAATACATACTATTGTTGATTAAAGCAAACAGTAGACTTAAGCAGTAATTCCAGTTCAGTAACAGTTGACCAAACACTGAGCACAGTAGTGAGACAGTGATTTTCCTGAGGCCCCTGCCTGTCACAAGTCCAGAGTCAGGCGAGGGAAAAGGTAACGGAACAATAAATGACATGTTAAGTTTTATTAAACTTAAAGGGTTGAGGGGCCCTCCCTGGTGGCACAATGGATTAAAGTGTAGCACTATGAATCTAGCTGCAAGCGCTTCAGCAAGAATTTGATCCCCACCCAGGGAGGTGACCCACATGGCACAACAGACCTCTCCTGTCTTGCCTGCCGCTCCCCTCAGTAGTGTACTCTGTCAGTCTGCGTGCTCTGCTCCTCACTCTGTCTCCAGTGACTCCTCTCACCCTCCCTGCAACCCAGCACCTCTGGCCTATAAACCAGAAATTAAAGATTGTGTCCAGAGTGCTCAATTGATGGCAATTTCTGCATCAGCCCACATGTAGCATGGCTATTTACTCACTGGTCATTCCCCAAAGGTGATCCAATTGCTTTCCCAGTTATTCAAGTAGTAAAGTGGGGAAGATGAAATTGAATTGCAGAAGAAGCCTGCTATTAATTACCATACTGACTGAATGGTCATCCCCAATAGCAGGGTGACTGGGAGATTCTTTTTTCCTCCCCAGATTGGTAAATCCAGGACTCAAATCTCACCTCTCGTAAGAGGACCCTTCAGGGAGCTTTTCCTAAAATAACATACCTCCTGTACTTCCTCACTATTTCCTTCCTGCTTTATTGCTTAAATTAGTCCCTGGAGTTGCAGGAATTTTGTTTTTGAAGGGGAGTGTGTAATTTTATTGTTGGTCTGTCCACCATAATATAAACTCAGAATAGATTGCCTGTCTGACTCATCTCTGTGGTAGCCTGGCCTCAGCACTTAGTATGCAGAGACTCAATTTTTGAATGAACACAAATAATTCTTACAACAGTGGGATCGTACTATGCATTCTATTTTAAATTAAAGGTATCACATTTTATTTTACTTAAATGTAACAAACGTAAAAAAATAAACAGCTAAAACTGAAGGCACTGTGCGATCATCCAGGCAGTCTTCAGAGTTTGGAGTTGTTTTCTACTTTTATTTCAATCAGTATCTTTTAGCAGTTAACATACCTGCACTTCTCCCTACTTACCCATTTTTGTGAGCTGTAATCGAACACTGTTAAGTTTGAAAACATGTATGCTGATTTAGTTGTAGTTCTCACATTTACTAGTCTTAGTTATATATTTTTTATTTATGCATACAAGAACTCTGGTGTAGGCCAGAGATGCGGGGGGGGGGGGGAGCACGGGTGTGAGATTTCACCAGAGACAGAGCAGGGAGCAGAACAGGCAGTTCGACTGTACACTCCTGGGGGGAGCAGCGGGTGGGACGGGAGAGGTCTGCCGCGCCATGTGGGTCAAACTCACGTTGCAGCGGCTGGCGATAGATGGCTTGGTAGCCTGGTCAGGGAGGCCTATATGATTGATTTTTATTTTTCATTCTTACTGATACTTTTTGGTTTATGAAATAATTTTAATAGCTGTAGGAGAATCACGGCATCCACACTTTCAGAACGTACATTAGAAAATAACTTCCTTTCTTGTGCTAATGGTATCGAGGGGAAGACTGCAGCTATCCGAAGCTAGTAACCCTACACCTGGACGTCCTCACCGCACGCCTCTAGGGCGCGGCGCCGCCAGGGGCCGCCAGGGGCCGCCACCGCCGGCGGAGCCCGACAGTGCCGCTCTCTCCTGCTGGCAGCGCTGAGGAAACGGGGCCGGAGGGCGCCGCGCAGTGCATCCTGGGCCGGTGTAGCCATGGCCGCTCGTGTCCTTTGCGCCTGTGTCCGCCGCCTGCCCGCGGCCTTCGCGCCGCTGCCTCGGGTTCCCACGCTGGCCGCCGCCCGGCCGCTCAGCACCACCCTGTGCCCCGGGGGGGCCCGGACGAGGCTCGGGGCTCCGCAGCCCGCCTTCGTGCTCGCGCAGGTGACTCGCGGTGACTTTGCTGGGGCTTGGCAGGGTCAGGGACCGGGCTCGCTCCGTGCGGGGGAGGGGCCGGGCAGCGTGGCCGCGCCGGCTGCGGGCGGGAAGGCCCGGGGTCGTTGGTCTTTCCCCCCTTCCCACTGCCCAGCGGTGCGTGGTTGACCCCTACCTGCAAGGCAGGTGACCTAGAGATAGCAGCAAGAGCGCTGACCCGTCAGACACCCCTGGACTTGGTTGCTCTTCACTGAAACTTTGCACAAGTTTCGTGACCTCGCCCAGCGTCAACACGAACCGTAAGATTGGGGGATCGAGTGTCTCTTTTATGGGGTTGCAGCGAGATCTGCCGGAGATACTGTACGTAGAGCACCTTGTGCGTTGCTTGGGAAGCTCTCAAATAGTGGTCCCTGTTTGTCGTAGTGATAAATGCTGCGGTGGCTTTCTAGGGGGAAACCAGTGACGGTGCAAAGTGGACTCCACGCCTACAGTCAGTTTTCTTCCTGGATTGCTGGATGTTGGCATAGTTTTGCCGGTTTGCAGCCCTCCTGGAAGTCAGGCGAGGAGACAGTATCTGTCAGTAGCTTTTTTATGGATAAAACCTTTGTGAGGCTGAAACCTAGGAGGTCAGCGATTTTCACCCCTAGCTGCCTATCAAGTCACCTGGGCAACTTGAAAAAGAAGAGAGATCTTTGGTCTTAAAGACGCTAAGGCAGATCTCTTGGGTATGAAGGGACAAGATAACAGAGTAAAAGTCAAGAAAACGAACAGACATGGAGCGTGGAAGTCTTACACTTAACCTAGGCAAGCTCCGAATCTAAACTATCTCACAGCCAGAGCAGAAAGAGAATTTCAAGCTAGTTCTTTGGTGTGTGGTACCCGGATGAGGCCGAAACACTTGTGCAGGGAAAGCCCCACTTTTCCTGGTGCTGGAACCAGTTTGCCACGCAAGAGAATGATGGATTGGCTGAATGATGGCCTGTCTGTCGCTCACATCCCAGGAAGACAAATTTATTTCCCCCAGTCTCTGCCACACTGCCCCTTCGGCCTGAGCCTGGTCCTTTACTTGCCAGCACTGTGAACTAATTTCCTGCACATCTGCCGCGCTCTCACACCCTTTCCTTGTCTGCGCGTCCCTCCTTGAATGATCCACCTGGTTCTTTTCCTAGCTCACTCCCAGCCTGGTGTCTTCCCCTTCACTGTCTCAAGGATTGAACAACAGTTTTTCTTACTGAAGCAGCCTGCAAAAACCTATTGTCATGGTTCCTGCCATTTTTTTATTACAACTGAAATGAGCTGGTTGGGTTGGCCTTTTCCATTAAGCCGTAAGCTTCCCTGAGGTGAAGGTCACATCTTAGTCATTTTGTAGTGCCAGTCCATAACAAGTGCTTAGCACAAGGATCAAGAGGGGCTGCTGAACAGGCATGTGAAAAGACAAAGACAAGACTTAGCTTCACGTGAGGACAGGTGTGTGGGGGGGAGGGAAGTGGAAACAAGAGGGACTTCACTAACTCCCAGAGTGCGAGCTAGCGGTAAGCAGCGCCTTGTCCAACAGTTTCCCAGCTGTCTGGGCCGGCCATGAAGACACATGCAGGGAGGGAACTTTCCTTCCAGTGGGCCAGGCTGGGAGGCAGTGAAGGTGAGAGGTGGGAAGTAGAGTTGGCACCGGAGTCCTGGGTGGTGGAGAAGGAATGGAGGTGTGCAAGCAGGTGTTTCGGCGATAGGTAAGGAGTCCATATCCGAGCAGATGGAGGTGTCCTATGGGGCAGTTTGTGGAACTCGCCTTTAGAGCCTCCGCCTCAGGCTCAAGTTTCCCTGAGTCGGGGAGAAACCCCAGAGGCAAGATGGGTTCTGGTAGAGGCTAGTTAAGGTTGATTTGTTTTAAACTAGTGTGGGGAATAGTTGGTGACTCCACACAGAGCACCTT